GAGACAAAGAAACATGGAACAGACTGTCAAACTGCAGTGAGAAGGCAGAGGAAGGTGGGGTGGTTGGAAGTGAGGGTAAGAAATGAATGGAAGGACTTGTATGCATGCATATAAGCATAACCAACGTATAATATATAGATATTGGGGAGTGAGGACATGTATTCAGAAGTAGGGGAGGTCTGGGGGAAGTCAAAGGGTATAAAAGGAGACATATGTACTACTATTTGAAATACTTTAAATAATAAAGAAAAAACTATTGGCACTGATAAATGAATTCTCTTCTGGCATTCCTATGATGAGGATGTTGGTATGGTTGATGTTGAACTAGAAGTCTTTAACTCTTCTCAGTTTTTTTCTTTTTGTTATTCTGATAGGGTTTTTTCCTCTATCTTCTCTTCTAAGTGATTAATTTCATCCTCTACTTCATCTAATGAACTGTTGATTTTCTCTAGTGTATCCTTCAGTTATTGTATTCATTTCTGACTGGTTATTTTTTTTTATTTCCTATGTCTTTGTTAAAATTCTTACTGAGATCATCTACTATTCCCCTAAGGTCATTGAACACCCTTATAACCAGTGTTTGAAACCTGCATTGGATAGATTGTTTGTCTTCATTTTGTTTAGTTCTTTTTCTGAAATTTTATCATGTTTTTCATGTTTCTTTGTCCCCTCATTTTGACTGCCTCCCTGTGTTTGTTTATATGTATTAGGTAGAGCTGCTATATCCCTCAGTCTTGGTAGAGTAGCTGTAAGTAGTAGGTGTTCTTTTCCTTGATCACCTGAACTGGGTGCTCTTTTGGTATCCCTTGTGTGGATTGTATGTGCCCTCCTGTTGTAGTGGAGCCTGGATTGCTGCTATGACATCACTGGGAGGAATTAATCCTCAGACTGACTGGCTATGAGAAGTGATCATGACTGCAGGAGATAACTATTTGTCAGGGGGCTGACCCTACTGAATGGGATTTACTTCAGCTGGGCCCTAGTCCCTACTGAGTCTACCCTTTTGGGTACGTCATTTGTGGAGCTGATTGGATGGTACCCTGGTATGTTCTAAAGCCAGGTACCAGGTTTGTTGGGTCTGGGACCTCTTGGGAGAAGCTTTGGTATAGACCAAGTTTAGTCACTGCCTGTGCCTGATTCAAGGCCATCTGGTAGGAGTTGCAAAGTGATCTGTAGTTGACTGTCACCTGTGCTGGGCTTGGAGGGTCCTAGTAAATGGTAAGCTGTGAACTGAGGCTGGCTTCCACTAGTGCCAGGCTTGGGGCTGCTTAGCAAGAGGTAAAGGATATACCTGTTTGGGATTACTGACTGTTTGGGATTACTGGACCTTTGAGAGGTTTTAGGAAAGTCCACAGCATGAGCTCAGACAGGATGTTTGTGTGGGAAAGCCTTCAAACAAGGTTTGGTCTGTGCACTTGAGTTGGGTAAGCGGGGTCTCAGGAAATCGCCAGAATAGGGTGAATGTTGTTAACCAAGTTAACAAGTGCCTGCTGCCTGGTTGGGGGAACAATGATGTCTGCCAGTACTTCCATCCCAACAGAGAACTATCCTGACCTTCCAACCCTCACCCTGAAGTTTGGGAATTCAGCTCTTCCCCAGATGTCACTGGTGATTTCCGAGCTGCTGCCCTGTTGTGGAGCTCAGAATGAGTGAGTTTGTGAGTGAACATGTCTGTGTTCAGACTCCTCAAGAGGACGGATGCCTTAGTCTCCAAGAGCCTTCAGTCTAACTCAGTTGACACTTCTCTCTCTCTCTCTCTCTCTTTCTCTCTCTCTCTCTCTCTCTCTCTCAAAATCAATAAAAACATAATTTCAATGAGGATTTTAAAAAATAATATTAGGTTTCCAAATGAGCCTTATCCAGTGCCTAGCACTTAACTGCTGTTTAGGGAAATGTTTTGGGGGGTTGAAACCAGCTTGATTTGTCTCTTTATCCCAGGATGCCTGTGAGCTGCTGCCGTCCTAGACCTATGAGAAGGAATAGGTGGGTAAGAGTACTGGACTGAGAGTCAGAAGTCTGGTTGTAACCCTAACTCTGCCCTTAAGTAGCTATGTGATTTGGAGTAAATTGCTTTACCTCTCTGTCTTTCAATTTTCAGTTATTGTATATAAGATATCTAACATGGACCCAAGGTGCTTATGAAGTACTCAGTGACTATGTCTTCCCTTTTCTAGACCCTTCTGGAATGTATGTACTCACTTTATATATGAGAATATTTTTTTTCTTCCTTCTCATCAGAGTCAACCCCTTTCCTGGCTGAAACAAAGCCTCTCCCCCGCCATCCCTCTGTGTGTGTGTGTGTGTGTGTGTGTGTGTGTGTGTGTGTGTGTACACAGAAGATTAGAACAAATCTAATGCAAAGAGGAAATCCTTCTAATACTCACACTACCAACTTGTTCTATGGTGTACCTTGCTTTCTCATCATTTTTATCTATGGTCTTTTTATTCAGGGTCTCAGACCTGAAAGAAAGTGGGCTAAAGAATCTCTTATAGAAAGTTAATCTTATTGATTACATTTCCCAGAAATACGAAGAATAACATCAAAGGGCTGTTACAAGTCACCAGGGAGGAAATCTGTCCTGATGTAGGCACCTGACAGGTTAGAGCAGAAGGGGAGTATCTCTGAGTGACCCCAGGACAAGGGGGCAAAGGGGTGAAGGAATGGGGACAGATTCATTAGTGTTTCCTCAGAAGCCCAGTTCTTAGCTTTCATTAGCTGCAGCTGCTTCTTCAACTGCTTCATTAACTTGAGTAGAAGTCATTCATGGTAGCTGTTGGCTGGTGTTTTCTCTGGAAGAAAGCTAGGAGACTGCCTATAATCACCGCAGTTAGCAGTTAGCATCCCCCCAATCTGCTTTTTGGCTTGGACTGGCTAGTCTTAACATTTGCAGAATCTGCTGCAATGCTCACAAATGAGTACAGATTGTATCCTTGCCCCATGTGGGTGGGCTTTGGCACCAGCTGACATAGCTGAATATCTCACACTGAAGCCTGTGAAGACCAGCCCCAAGTACCACTGCTCCTAATGAGAGCAGCTTTGCTCTCTAGCACTTAGTGAAGTTCAAAGCTATGGGGGAGCAGAACTCTGAATGTGGCTTTAGGAAGGGATCGAGCCCAGAAAGCAATCTATGAGTAAATGTTCTATGAGTAAATATTCCCTGGGAGATTAAGACATGAGCTAAATGAAATTATGATAATAATATCATCATAATCAACTGTCTTTAACTGCATACATACTCTGCTCCAGGCACTGGGCTAAAAAAAAAACCTTTGAATTTATGTCCTGTCTTTATACAACAGCCTGTTAAGATAGATATCGAAACCTTTTTAGTTGGATGGCTGGGAGCTTAAAAGATGAAATAACCAGTCCAAGATTGCACAAGCTTGGTGGCAGAGTTAAGACCACTGATCCCAGAGCTCAAGCTCTTACCACTCCCTATACTAGTATATGCTCTGCCTTAAATGACCATTAGACAAAAAACTTTCCAAAGGTTGCATGTGCCAGGGGCAGCTGGAAATAATGAAGGTTGTGAGTTCTAAATCCCACACTCCCATGGTTAGTTATACAGACTGACCTTTAAGAGACTGAAGAAAGAAGGTTTAGGTCAAACTGACCTTTATTCAAGAGGCAGGTTTAGTGGCAAGCCCTGCGCAACCAACTACTGTGGTTCTACTGATCCCTTCCCTCAGGCTCTGTGGTGTTGTCTAGGAAGATGAACCTAGCAGCAGAAGGTTTAAGGAAGTCAGGAAACATGCAGTCTGAGGTATATGGAGGATGAGGGAGCAGGCGAATTTCCAGCCTTGCTTTGATGTGGCTGAGATGTTTGCATTACACATGAGCCTCATCTTTTTCTTCTCTTTTCTTTTTAAGCCCCAACTGCTCTAGTCACTTTTTTTCTCCCCTAACTCTCTGTAGGTATAACTCTATCTGCTGCCTTCCAGCCTAGTTGTGGACTGAGTTCATGGGGGGTGAGTCAGTATATATTCCGTGCTTGTAGGTACAAAACCACTATACCTTCTGTCCACCCTGGCAGTTTGTAATATTCACCATCACCCACTTTGAGCCTTTGTTTTTATCAAGGTACCCATACCTATAAATGCCTCTTTGTTTTCCTCTCTGATATATACATTTTCCTATTGCTTCCAATTCAATAATTATTTTACTGCTCTCTCTTCCCAAGTAGTTATATACAGGGAACTATTCCATTCTCTGGAAATTGGAACCTCCCCAATGTGGCTCACTGAACCCAATGCAGGACATATGAATATCTAGATATACATGTCTGCGACTGCTGTTCTTGGTCCTTTTAGTCAGAAAGACCTGACTGCTCTATTAGTTTTTAAGTGCCTTAAAGAGAGGTAAATTAGTGTGGTGGAAAGGGCACTAGACAGCATAGAGGCTAAAGTTGCCCTAATTCCTGCAAAAGAAACTGCTTACTGGAAATAGAGGCCTGAACCTGTCACCTCAGCCTGGTGCTGGGAGGCATGGTTTATATTGAGACCAAGGTTATGGTGGTCACTAACCACTAATGCTCCAGGAGTTCTGCTGGTGGGGCATTGAAGAATCTTCTCCAGGACTCCTATGCTTCCTTTAGGTTCCCTCAGAACTGATCCCTCAGTTTCCTATCCCTCATTCTAGTGATAGCTACCTCCTCCTCCCCTCTTATCCTCCTGGTCCTCCGTGCTTCCCACCCTAATAGCTCTCTCTCCCCCTTTTCTTCCAGCTGATGCAGCCAGCCATGCTTTCTCCAGTCTCTCCTCCTACTCCCTCCCCCTTTGAATCCAGTCCTGGTTTCCCCAAAGCCAGTCTCCCTTTTCTCTTTGCCCCTCCCCCCTCCGCCCTGCAGGTGGCAACTTGGGGTGGTGGTGTCAGCTGGTCACCAACCCAAGCTGGCCCAGTCCGGGAGATTCCAGTCCAGATCTCGCTGCTGCCAGACCCAGGTAGGACTCCAGAAGCTGGGGAGGCGGACAGGGTATAGCTGGCAACCTCCAGGAGGACAATGCACCCAGTTCTTCGCCATCCCCGCTCGGTCTCTGTCTTGTCCTCGTCCAGCTCCGTCCTGCGGCTTCCAGCCGCCAGCGGGTCGCAGTCCTTCCTCCAGGGAGGTTTCTCTCATGGCAGGAGAGACTCAGGTGACAGCAACACCAGCACCAGCGCCAGTACCAGCCAGGGGGAAAGCAGCGGCGGGGACAGAGGTTCTCCCAGCAGCAGCACCAGTGCAGAGCGGGAGGACAACCCCAACCTGAGCGTCAGTATAACCAAACCACTGGTTCTCACTGCCGACACTGCTGGGATCACAAGACCCCTAGCCCCAAACGCTGACTCAGCCGCGGGTGTTGCTTTCTCCTCCACCTCAGCCACTACCCCCTCCTCCACGCCCACCTACTCCTGCAGCATGACAGCAGACGTCAGTGGGGTTGCTGCCAGGGCCATCTTCAGTGGGGGTGCTGCCGGGAGCGTTGGGGGCCCCGGGATCCGCTTGGCTGGGGTTACCTGTGGTGCAGGGACTAGCAGCGGCGCCTCCTGCTGTTCGTGCTGCTGCTGCTGTAACCACAAGGCCCTGACCCCATCAGACCACAGAGGTCAGCATCACAGTGGGGACAGCACCCCCAGTTCGGGGTGTCCTTGGGGCTATCAGGCACTGTCCATGGTGCTGCTTTTGGCACAGGGAGGGCTACTAGACATGTACCTCATCGCAGTCACCGACCTGTACTGGTGTTCCTGGATTGCCACCGACCTGGTGGTGGTTGCGGGCTGGGCCATCTTTTTTGCCAAGAACAGCCAGGGCCGTCGGGGCCGTGCTGGGAGCCACCACCAGCACCACCATCATGCCTCGCTGCCCCTGCACCTGCCGGCTGCTTCCATTGGGGCTACAGCAGGGGCCAAGGCTCACGGTGGCTTTGGGGGCTCCAGAGGTCCAGGGGGTGGTTTAGGGGCGGCTGAGGTGGTGGGCGAGTTTGCCTTCGCCTACCTGGCCTGGCTCATCTATTCCATCGCCTTCACGCCAAAGGTGGTGCTCATCCTGGGCACGTCCATCCTGGACCTCATTGAGCTGCGTGCACCTCTGGGCACCACAGGCTTCCGCCTTACTATAGCGCTGTCGGTGCCTCTACTCTACAGCTTGGTGCGGGCCATCACCGAGGTGGGAACTCCCCTGAGCTCAACAGGCCCATTGATTCTGCAGCCCCAGCAGCACCACGCCTCGGGATGTTTCCTAGGCACGTGTTTGGATCTGCTTGATAGCTTCACCCTAGTGGAGCTCATGTTGGAAGGGCGCGTGGCACTTCCCACACACCTTCGCTACTTGCTCATCATAGTCTACTTCTTCACCCTCTCCTCGCCTGTGCTTTGGCTGTATGAGCTCAACATTGCAGCAACCGCAGCTGCAGCTTTGTCCTGGGACCAAGCTCCTGGACCTGGCAGCTGCAGCCGCCTTCTGCGCCTACTGGGAGGCTGCCTGGTGGACGTGCCCTTGCTGGCATTGCGATGCCTCCTAGTGGTGAGCTACCAGCAGCCCCTATCCATTTTCATGCTCAAGAATCTCTTCTTCCTTGGATGCCGTGGCCTGGAGGCCCTAGAAGGCTGTTGGGACCCTGAAAGACCAGCTTCTTCCAGTCAGGCCAGAGGGGGCTATTGTGCTCCGTCCTCTGTCCAGCCTTCACTGCCACCTTCACCACCACCTCAGGGAGGCTCCCAGCTGAGTCACTGTATTTCAGAGAACAATGAGGCAGGAGCCCATGGCTATGCCACCACCCTAGATGTGGCCTCCAAGAATTAAGGGGAATAAGTGGGGGGTGAGGCTTGCTTTTCAGTTGAGAGACCTCAGCTCCCTTGTCCTCTAACTTTCTCTCACCCAGATTATATCAAATAATCACCAGATTATTTGTTTAGGAGAGGTGATTTTTGTCCAGCCTGTGTGGCTCCAGTGTTTGAGCATGAACCAGGAAGTCACAGCTCCAGCCTCCATCAGGGCACATGTCCAGGTTGAAGGCTCAATGCCCAGTAGGGGGGTGTGCAGGAGGCAGCAGATCAATGATTCTCTTACATCATTGATGTTTCTTCTCTCTTCCCCTCTTCCTTCCTCTCTATTCCTCTCTAAAATCAATGAAGATATATATTAAAAGAACAGGTAACTGTTAATAGAGTTAAGGGCTAGTTTGTCCTTTTGCACTCTTTGGTCAAGACTGCTTGGAGGAAGACCAATAGCTAATGGTGAGGGAGGAGGGTCTATTCACTCTATTCTCCCTTCTCCATGCCTGACCCTGATTCTCACTTCTGGATACCTCTGCTTCTTGCTTTTGCCATCTCCACCCTAATTCCTAGCCATTGTGTGAAGGAGGGAGGAATGGAGGAAAGATGCCCAGGCACAGGGTGATGGACCTTAGGCCTTCTGTCTTGCTTATAAATGCCAGCTTCTTTTAGGTTTTGGTTAGTGGCCATTGTCCCATGCCTTGAAATTGACTCAGAATCCACTGTCCCCTCATGTGTTTATTGGATTTATTCCAAATGGTAGATGCAAAGTCTATGTCTCTATGTACGTGTAGTATTGTTTTCTTATGTCCACCTTGTGGCCTGTTGCAATCAGTAGATCTGGGGAAGCCCAGCCCACTATATATAGCACCACCCTCCTTGTTCCTACCTAAACTTGTGGCAATAAATTCCCAGAAAGAGCTAGGCTCCTGGGAGCTGCCCAGTTTCTCTTCTTCAAGAAAGAAGCTTACCGAGGATCTTCCTCAATCCTATTCCTCTCTTCTCAGCTTATGGGGAGGAGAGTGTCAGAAGGTTCATATTCTAAGGACCAAACTGCACCCTTTCTTGGGTGAAGGGGCATTTCTACCCCCATGCTTTTGACTTTTGTTGCATCATGCGCTGATGCTGCTTGCATAAATAAATAAATAAATAAATAAATAAATAAATAAATAAATACAAAATACTAAAAGTTGCATTCAACATGGTCACTAGATCCAGGTGGGATTTTGTTGTCAAGGTTGTCACAAAGTCTGAAGTATCAGCCATTGGCTTGTCTGCCTCTCTCCCTATGCATTCATATCTGTTTCCCCAAGGTTTGTTGCTGGCTCAGTCAGATCTTGGCTCAGAAACTTGGTGGGGTTTCTGGATAGATATGAAGTTGGGTCTCTCATGGGTCCACCTGCCCTCTAGAAAGTTTTGTGAAGACCAGAAATTGTGGTGATGATTTTTATCTTTTGCCCTGTTAAGAGGATCTCCAGGGAAAAATCAGGCTTCATGGAATAGGATAGGCAAACCCACCACAGCCTTTCTCTCTGGTATTCCTCTTGTTAAAGTTGATGAGAAGGGACATCCAGGGGTTTCCCACTAACAGTCTTAATGTAGGCATCACTCTTGGAATCTGGAGGTAGGATAAATATTTTTAGGAGAGGTAAGTGTGCAACAAGGCTAGTAAATAACTCTCCTCCACCCCACAATAGGATAGAGGGATGAAATTGTAAGAATTTTTGTTTCCCCTTCACTTTCTTATGCTTGGGAAGTTTTGTGTGGTGTAGTAAACCCTGGACAAAGGATCAGAAAAATCATGGTTGTAATTTTGACTGTCACTTTTGCTTTCTGGGCCTCAGTTTTTTACATGGGGTCACTCTCTCCCAACTTCTTGGGGGCTTGTTGACAGAAGACACCCATGTGGACAGAGACACAAGGGGCTCATGAATTAACCAGATATTCTCACAGTGGGGAACAATGGAGAAAAAAATGTTTATACTCAATACACTATCATGCTTTCAACTCCCTAACCCTACCAGGTCCAACATAAACTGGTGGAATTTTGCAGCTAATTGTTTTTCTCCTGTCTTTTCTCCTTTCTGTATTGACTCCTCTTCTTTCCCTTTGAATTTCATGTGCTCAGAGTTCTGGGGCCCAGACCCTAGGTGGGACCCAATAGCTGCTTCCTCTGTTTTCACATTCTCCCTCCAGCTTTGTTGCTTCCTGCTAGCTACCCAATCTCTGAATGTGAAAGGATTTTGCATCTGAGCCATGTGCCAGCTCCTGGCTGGTCCCCTACCCCACCCCCTTTTTACTGTTTGGATTGTATTCTCAACACTGAATGACTGTAAAATCTGAGTGCTTTTGATTTTCTGGTGTGAGGCTGTGATAGATTCCCATGAGCTGCCACTTCCCTAGGTACATCAAGAAACTGATAAATGGGGGGATAAGGACACATATGTAATATCTTGATCAATAAAGAAAAAATAAACAGAAAGTTCAAAAAATAAAACTGATAGCAATTGGGCCAATTCTGATAGATTTGTCTGCCCCCACATATCTACACCCACCCCTCACCCCCATCCAGCAATCCTCTTCCAAATATTTGATGTAAGCACCTTGTGTTCAGAGTCAGTCCCTCCCTTCCTTCTGGTATATTTTCCTTGAGTGCTTTTACTTACTTCCCTTGCCCCATTCACAAGGAGAAATTTCCCATAAAGCTTCATTTTTCTCGCCTTCTAGGGGCATCTGCATTGTGGGAGTCAAATTGGAGATGTTCTCTATGGTCAGAAAAACAGGAGTGCACTTTCTCCTGAGGTTGAGGGGAAGCACAGTTCACAGCCAGGAACCCAGGTTCAGAATTCACACTGCCTGCTTCTAACATTTAAGCAAGTAAGCATGTCCTCACTCTGAGTTTATCTGTTTTAAAAAGGGGTTGGACTAGATCCTCTAAAGTCTGGTCTAATTTAACAGGTCCTGAGTCTGATTTCATGTGCTAGAGCCTGGAAGAGGGGGAAGTGGCACCTCATTAGCATTTATCATGCCCCCCCTCCTCTTTTTAAAAATAAAAACAGCTTCTGTATTGAAAATAAAAACCTGAGGCTTATGACAAACTTCCTGTGTGAATCTTTCCTGTTTCCTTACTAAATTCTTAAATGTCACTCTGACATTTGTTACCATTGTATATATTTGTGTTAACATTATGAGTAAACCTTGGTTATTTCCTCCTAGTGGCATGCTACTCAGGAGCAGTTTGGCTTTAGCCTTGACCTGGTGTCTAGCCAGGTTTTCTGTAGGCAGAATTAACAGAGATGCAGCCTGTGAGTGATTTCTCCAGTTATCCAGAGCTTTCTTTCCCATTTCTTTCTAAAAAATAACTTAACAAAGGGGAAAAGATTGAGAACTAATTTTTAAATACTTTGCCCTTCTCTATTACTTTTGTCCCTTCAGAAGCATGAATCCTTATGTATGAATGAGAACAAAGCCATGTTTTTGTTTTGTTTGTTATTACTTTGTGAAGTCTTAGACAGAACATAGAGTCTGAACAAAAATAAAATTATAGTTTATTGTTGTTGTTTTTCTTTAGCACAGAGACAGCCAGCACTATTCAAATCACTACATTGTTGCCCTATAATGCTCTGGCTGTTCCAAAGTTACAGAGCCTGGTCACAAGCTTTCTTTGCCTCCAATTGCTATGCCTTTGGGTTCACACCTAATCTCTTGGAACATTTTCATTCTTTATAAAACAGGAGCAACATTACTTCATAAGGATGTGGTAAGAATTAAATGAGGTGACGTGCAAAAATGTTTCTTTTCCTGAAGACATTTATAATCATAATGAGGGGACAAAATTTACACAGGAAAGAATTATAGCACAAGATAAGGCCATACCTTCATTCCTTCCTAAATCTAGATGTAAAATAACTTGATTAATTTGACAAAGTATGTTATAAATATTTATACATTTCTCATAGTTAAGCATGCAAGCTCTCATTGATTTTGGTCAGCGAGAGCATAAATGAGGGATTTTGGAAAAAATGAATAATTGTAAGCATGATCTAGATATGAATGGCCTTGCCTCAGGGGTTGAACAGGAGCGTGGAACTATATCCTTTGCTTGATTGTATCAGGCCCTTGATGCACATTGTGTTATTTCATTCTCACACCCACCTCAAATAGCTTTGTTTTCATTTCCAGAGAAGCTTGCTGGAATGCCACACCATAGTCAGGAAGGGATTCAGATTTGAATCCAGGTGTGTCTGCTTCCAAAATCTGTACCCCAAGTAGCCTTTAGACTTCAGCTGCTAACAGGTTTAACTTTCATTAAAGCTATGCAGTTCTGGCTAAAAAGCAGGGGCTAGATTTCATATTCTTTGTGAGTGCCAAGGAAGAGGCATTGAGCAAGACAACTGGTAAGATACCATGTCAGTGTGCAGACAAAAGTGGGGCCAGCCAATTTTGCCTCCCTTTCCCCTTTCTGCTCTTTTGTCCTCTCAGGACACTAAAATCTTCTTCCTCTCTATCCAGAAAGGAAGGATCCAGTAAATTAATTTATATTAAAATGTTAATAACCTAAGGGGCCATTCCTTCTAGGAAATGGGTAAGATTTCTTTGTATCCTTCAAATCATGGGAGAGAATGAATATCTCATCTATATTTCTCTAACAGGCAAGCCTGCTCAGTAGGGTGCCACACTTACCTTAACCAACCTAAATTGACAGGATGAGAGTGTTGACCCAGTGCCAAGATCTAGGAGCAGAAGTAGGGCATGGAGAGCTCGGGAGAGGCCAAAAGAAAGGAGATGGACCTAGAAGCCATTTAGGAGTGATGTTGGAAGCACTGAGTAGGAAACAGACATTGGACAAAGGTCCCATCTGGCAGAAAGCAATGGGGTACAACTTCAGAGCCTATACCTATGGGCTGGGGGCAGTTGCTTTATTTTATAGTCTTCTATAATATAATATATATTGTTTCTGTTTTCCCAAAATGAACATATTTGCTCAGACAACACATTTGCTGAGCTCTTAATATATGCCAAGTATTG